TGCATTAAGCGCCCTAATTCGGCTGCTGAAATTAGTGCACGAAGGGTGGGTGACCTCTTCTACCTCGCAATCATGCACGCCTTGTGGATGTTCATGGAGGGAAATAAAGAAAATAGTAATAATAATAAAAAAAATCTACCACAGGTAATGCTAACCTTTTATACATGCTATCTTTTTATTTTTTACAGGGGAAAGTACTTTAAAGGGAATCTCACCAAAATCTTCATTAGTGATGATTCGAAAGCAAAGATAATCCTGCCAGGAAAGTGATCAACACATTAGGAATTGCAGGGCTGATTTTAAAACGTTTCTCTTTTTTTCTTTTTTTCCCTTCTTTCGTTTTTTCATTGTTTTTCCTTAAATTTCTGTGATCGATCTTGTATTATCACATTACCGCTCTGTTTGTTTGTTTTTTCTATGGTGATGATGATGTACTTTTGATGAGCTTATGGCAATGATAACAAAAACATCCTGAGATGGTTCTAATGTTTGAGATTTTAGATGGGAATGGTAATAGCATTAAGGTATTATTTTCGGTAACAAAAGCAAGAGCAGATACTCGAGTATAAAAAAAACGCATCATCACCATCATCGCTGCAGTCGGAAAGAAAGTCATTAAACTCACGATGATGATAATGGAAAAGAACAGAAAATCATCTTAAATGGCTGATCTTAAGCAATAACCAGAACACTTACCCAGGTCTGGCAGCACATTAAGGCAGCTAATGGCTTCGCGTGTAAATTATCAACGCCATACAAGTAGTTAAGGCAACATAGCGAATGTAACGAGAGGACAAGTGTTGTTCAGTGGAAGCCGGGAAGTGGGTATTGAAACCTGGCGGGTCGAAACCGTAGAGTTCTGCACGGCGCGGCGATCAGGAGACGGGGCTGGATCGCAGGAATGGGAATGGGAACGAGTTAATTCCGGAGAGTGAATTGCTGATGTTGGAAGTAGCGACGGATTGCGAAACGGAAATGTTTTTTTGATGTTCGAGTTTGCAAATTCGTCTGATTAAAAATGATTTTTCCCCTTTTTTCTGGTTATTTTGTAGAAAATATTTTGGAGTGAATTTATCTAGCGATACCGTGTTGCGTATTGACATACATGCACATAAATGTACACATGATTTCAGACAGATGGACGCACATAGACTCATATAGACACACTCACACACTTGAAGCTTAGAGAGAGAGAGAGAGAGAGAGAGATAGAAAGGGAAAGAGAAACAGAAAAAAAGGGAGAGACAGAAAAAAGGGAACGAGAAATAGAGAGAGAGAGAGAGAGAGAACACACACACACACACACACTCGTAAACAACCAAAAACATGCTCATTGACACACACACTCATAAAATTAATACCACGCATACACAACACGCACTCGACTTCTTCAAGATAATTGCAACTAAATGGACTATGCAGTACAAGTATAATCTATGAATATGGAAAGAGTGCTTGCAGTGCATTTAAACCACTGTTGCCCTTTACACATTTTCCAATTTGCTGAAGAGGGATACTTGTGCTGTAAATAGTTGTTTGAAACATAAATCAAATTTGTACTGCATGCTCTTATGAAATATGAAATGCGATGTGAGTTAGATTTGTTGAAAGATATATATCAATTGTCACATGACTTGCTGTAATACAAGTTAAGGAGGAAGAATTTGAGGAACGAAGGAAATAAGAATTAAGGAGGAAAAGAAATATGGAATAAAGTTGGAAGAAGAAGAGAAGGATAAGATAAGATACATTTGCTAAGAATATTCATATTCCTGTTAAAATGAAATAAGCTAAAGATGAGGAGGAGAAAATAGTCATATTTTGTAAAGATAAATGAAGAAGAATATGACTCCATCTTTGTTAAAAGGTGAAAACATTGATAAAACAGTCTGGAAATGTTTTATTTGCAATTCGCTTAAACTGATGTAAAAAAGAGTATGAAAGAAAATGAAAAATGGAAAACTTAAATGAAGATGAAAGGACGGCAAAAGATGAAGTAACAAAAGTACAAAGAGAGCTTGAGAGAGAGAGAGGGAAGGAGAGAGGGAGAGAGAGAGAGAGAGAGAAAGAACAAGAAGGAAAGAAAAAGAGAAGATAAGAAAAGGAAAAGAAAGGAAGAAGAAAGAATGTATAAGATAAGAAAAAGATGGGAGAAAAAGTCAACGAGAAAGAGAGAGCGAAAAAAAGACCAAGAAAACAGGAACTGGCCCATATTCCTTGTCCCCCATCCCAACACATCAATAAATTCATGAGCCTCCAACCCTGTCGACAAAATACGCGATGCTGTCATCCCAAAAAGGAGTCCTTCCCCCCCCTTCCCTTCTCCTTCTCTCCTCCCTCTCTCCCCCTTCTTCTCCTTCTCCCTCTCATCCCCCTACCCCCTCCCGCTCTGGTTGGTTTTGCCGAGTTTGGCGAGCACGTTGGAAGACGTCCCTGCAGCAACCGGCCTGAAATATGCTTTGAGTATAGTAAGAGAGTCTAGTAGAGGGTATCTGTTGTTATGCCCGCTGCCAGCCCCTCTCAGTCGCCTCTCAGCCCCTCTCAGTCCCTCTCAGTCCGCCCTCAGTACCCTTTCTGTCCCTCTCAGTCCCTTTCAGTCCCCCTCAGCCCCTCTAGTCCCCGCTCAAGTCCCTTTGAGGTCCCTCTCAGCCCCTCTCAGTCCCCCTTCAGTCCTTTCAGATTCCTTTCAGTCCCTTTGAGTCCTCCAGCCGCTCTCACACCCTGCCACCCCTCTCAAGTCCCTACTCAGTCCCTTTACAGTGAGTCACCCATATCACTCAAGTCAGTCCCTCAGTCAAGATCAGCCCCCTCTACCCGCCTCAACCCCATCTTCCTTCATCTCCCTCTCAGTCCCCTGTAGTCCCTATTCAGATCCGGTTTATCCCGCTCCTGCTTTTTTCTATTCCCCGATTTCCTTAGTGATGTGATTTCCCTTAGTCTTGGAGGAGGGAAAGATGTATAGGACTTTATGGTTTCTTAAATGCCCTTCAGGTTATGATTTTAATATCAATTCTTTCTCCCTTCTACCTTCTGATATCAACAACATCCCCCCCCCCACCCCCACCTTCACTCCATTTGATACTAGTTCCCTTCCTCCCTCTTTGCTGATACCAACGCCCTCCCTCCCTCTTTACATTTGGTATCAACACCCCCCCCACCCCTTTTTTCTCTTCCTGTGTTATTAACCCCTTCCCCCCCTTTGATATGAACTACCCTTCCCTCTCTCCTTCCTTTGATACCAACTCCTTCCCTCCTTCCCTCTTTAGATTTGATATCAATTCCCATCTCCCTTTATCCATCCATCCCTTTGATATTAATACTCCTCCTCCCCCGCCCTTTGGCATCTGTACCCCCCCCCCACCCCCTTTCCTGCCTTTGATAACAACTCCTTCCTCTTTACCTCTACTAGCCACCCTCCCCTCCCTATGGTACTCCACACCCAACCCCTCCATCATTGCCCTAACCCCTATAACAGCTCCCCTCCCCTCCTATATACCCCATACCCATAAGCAACAGGGAGGAAAGGGGGGAGGGAGTGCCAAACCCTTTCCCTGTATACTCCTCCCTCCCCCTCTAACAACCCCCTACCTCCCTCCTCCTCCCTTCTCGTCTCTGAATGTACAAGGCAGCGACCCTAGTTTTATTGGAGGAAAAATAACTTCTGAATGTCGGTGTATAAGGAAAATATTATTCTTTTTATTGGCTTGGGTATGAGGGACAGAATAGCAGGAAAAAGGAAGAAACGACACAACAGAAAAAAAGAGTGAAAATGGAGTGTGATAACAACAAAAAGAGAAAAAAAAAGTGAAACAAATGGAAGAAAAAATGTTGCTGAGTTGCTGAAAACATGAAATGCTTAAATTCATCTATCATTATTTTTTTTTTATTGGTATTGTTCTTGAGATCATTATAGATATTTTGTATAATAAGTCTTGTAATAACTATTCTTACTCTCTTCTTTCTTTCTTTTTTAATTCTTAACATTGTTATTATCATTGATATTGTCTTTTTGTTATCACTTTTATTGCTCGCATTATTATTATTATCATTATTACTATTGTTATTATTATCATTATCATTATTGTCATTATTGTTATAATCAATATTATTACCATTATAATTTATCATTGTTACTATTATAAATGTTATCATCATCATTACTATCATTATCATTATCATTATTGTTATCATTATTATTATTATTATTATTATTATTATTATTATTATTATTATTATTATTATTATTATAATTACTGTTATTATTATTATTATTATTATTATTATTATTATCATCATTATCATTATCATCATCATCATTACTATTGTTATTACGATCATTATTATCGCCAATGCTATGATTATCAATATAATTATTATCCCTATTGCTATCATTATCATCAACAATGCTATGATTATCATTATCCTAGTTATTATTGCTACTGCCATTTTTATTATTATAATCCTTATTGTTAGTATTATTGTTATTTTCATTATCATCATCACCATTATCTTTATTACTATTGTTATCATAATTTCTTTACGATGACCATTATCACTAACATTGTTTTTTTTCCTACTACTATTACTATTGCCATTATTATTACTCATATCAGAATTGTTATTGCCATTATCATTATTTTTCCTTCCTTTCTTCTTTTCCTTCCTTTTTCACTCAACTGCCTTTGCGAAATGCCATCAAGAAAATTCCGGTTGACAAAATTTTGCTTTAGACTGCATCACTGTTGCAGGATTTGTAAAGGCACGGAAATCATTTCTCTTCTTTGCTATTGTTCGACTTCTAGACATTACTGTTCTCCCAAGAAAGGTAAACACCGTGTTTTAAAAAGGGAATATAACACTGTTCTCTTTGTGGGTGTACGAGAGGAAAGGGGAAGAGGGAGAGAGAGAGAGAGAGAGAGAGAGAGAGATGGACAAGGCAAGAAATCTCGAGAAAGGAAAAGGGAAACTGGGGTGAGATGGAGGAAGAAAGCGAGAGAGGGAGAGACAAAGAGAGATATAGGTTAAGAGAGAGAGAGAGAAGAGAGAGAGAGAGAGAGAGAGAGAGAGAGAGAGAAAGAGGAAGAGAAGGAGAAGGAGAGAGAGACAGACAGACAGACAGACAGACAGACAGAGAGAAAGACAAAGAGCGAGAGAGAAAGAACCAGAGACACAAAGAGAAAAAGAAAAAAGAAAGACACCCATACAAACAATCAGACAACAGAAACAAACAGAAAAAAAAACAACAGACAACAGAAACAAACAGAAAAAGGAAAACGAAAGCAAAGAAACGAGACCAGAATCACCAGCTTGCCCGCCCCAGTACGCGACTCCTTCCAGCGCGTATTTACACCTGAAATCCCACTGGCTTAAGCCCATCGACCACGGAGCAAGACCGCATCAGCAGGAACAGCCGGGCCGCGGGAGTCCTGCCGCATCGAGCAGGACTTTCCATTGTGGCGGAAAGGACTAACTCAGCAGCGTCCTTCTTAGCGCTGGGGATTACTGGGTGGGGGAGGGGGAGGGAGGGGAGGAGGGGAGGTGGAGGGGAGGGAGGGGAGGGAGGAGGGAGGGAGTGAGGAGGGAGGGAAGAGGGGAAGCGAGGGGAGTGTAGAAGGGAGGAAAGAGGGGGGGAGCGAAGGGAGTGATGAAGGGGGGGAGGAAGGGAGTGATGAAGAGGGGGAAGAGAGGAGGGATGAGAAGGGAGTGAGGAGGGAAGGAGGAAAGGGAGTGATGAAAGAGGGGAAGAGAGGAGGGGAAAGGGGTTGAGTGAGGAGGGAAGGAGGAAAGGAGGGAGGGAAGGGGAGGCCGCACACAAAGCCTCCTAAGGGATTAATAAAGAGGAGAGTCTAAGGGACTGATGAAGATTACCCTCTCTGCTCCCGGGCAATTGGTAGTATTGCCATTATCCGCTATGTAGATCGAGGCCCTGTATTGGCTATCCGGAGAGAAAGGGTTAAGGCCCGTGCTGGGTCGGGGTTAGTGTTTGCTTTATGTGGGAATCTATTGGGGAGGCTGCCGGGATGGCTAAGCTCGCACGCACGCGCACGCACGCACTGACGTCTGCATACACTGTGCGCATTTGCATTGCTTGGGGTTGAGGAGGGGTGGAGGGGAATTTGGGGGAAGGGGGGAGGATGGGGAATGAGGGGAGAGGGGGGAGAGGGAGAGGGGGAAAGGGGTCTTGTACATACATAAGCCTAAAGGTCCACAAGATTACTCATGCTCTCTGATTCGGGCACAAGGTCACAGATGCGGCTGCAGGCTCATGTACGCACGCGCCTACGTACATACAAACGCACACATCTATCCATCTATCTGTTTATGAATGTCTCTCTCTCTCTCTCTCTCTCTCTCTCTCTCTCTCTCTCTCTCTCTCTCTCTCTCTCTCTCTCTCTCTCTCTCTCTCTCTCTCTCTCTCTCTCTCTCTCTCTCTCCCTCTCTCTCTCTCTCTCTCTCTCCTGTCTCTCTCTCTCTCTCTCTCTCTCTCTCTCTCTCTCTCTCTCTCTCTCTCTCTCTCTCTCTCTCTCTCCTTCTCTCTCTCTCTCTCTCTCTCTCTCTCTCTCTCTCTGGTAAACCCGGCCATTCCTTGCACACAGTGGGAGATTTACAAGCAGAATAAAACAGACAGTATGTCACAGCAAAGGATATCCAGTGTAACAAATGGAATTAAAGCTAAATCTTAAATCTTAAAATTCTCATTCTCCCTTTCTCTCTCCCCCTCCATCCCTCCCTCTCTTCGTCTGCCTTTTTATCTCCCTATTCCCTCCACGTTATACAAATATACCTTCATCTCTTTGTTCACTTACACTCCCCTAATTTTTTCTTCTGCTGATTGGGTGTGTGTACAAGGCTCCTATTGGTCCCACAAGTATGCTTACTCTTTTTTTTTTTTTTTACTTTCTCTCCTAACGAATGCTTTGCTTTATTTAGGCCTAAGCAACCGAATCTTTGTCGTGTTATCATTGTTTTGTTTGTTTCATAGATCTGTCTGTTTTTGTTTTTTATTATTGTTTTTATTTCATCAGCTGTTCTGTATTTGTTTTTTTTCGCGCCTTTGTCGTGTTATCTTTGTTTTGTTTGTTTGATAGATCTATTTGCTTTCTTCTTGATTGGTGTTTTTATTTATATCAGCTGTTTTGTGTTTGTTTTTCGCGAGTGTTGTTTTGTGTTTTTTATATGTTTCATATCCTGATTCTTATCCACAAGAGGTTATCATTTTATGTAAACTTTTGTATGAATAATTGGCGCTGTAGTTTTTACATTCTTTGAACGAGCAAATCATCTGCTAAATTAAATAGAAAAAGAAACATGAAGAGAGAGAGAGAGAGAGAGTGAGGAGAGAGAGAGAGAGAGGAGAGAGAGTGAGAGAGAGAGAGAGAGAGAGAGAGAGATAGAGAGAGAGAGAGAGAGAGAGAGAGAGAGAGAGAGGAGGGGAGACAGAGAGAGGAAGAGAGGGAGACAGAGACAGATAGAGAATAATAAGAAGAAAAAGAATCTAAAAGAATCGGTGAAATGACTTCCCTTCAATGGATATAACATGTTACGATTTTTTTTTTTTTTTTTTTTTTTTTTTAGTTTATGTGATACTAAAAGCACACTGTGACTAAGCGCTTTGATGGAACAGAAAATGATCTTTCAGTATTTTTAAGCTGCAAAACGTCGAACCGTTGTTAAAGGATTTTTATTTCGAATTTTTATAGACACATCTATCTATCTGTCCATCTACATATATATATATATATATATATATATATATATATATATATATATATATATATATATATATATATATACATATACATATATATATATATATATATATATATATATATATATATATATATATATATATATATATAT